TAGGATGGAGATGAGCCAGCAAAATCCTGGCCTCCAGGGAGGCTTAATATTGCTGAGCATTACAGAAAACCTCAAAACCAAGCTCATTGCTGTTGAATCCATACTGACTTACAGAACCCTGTAGGGAAGAATAGAACTGCCTGATAAGGTTTCTATAGCTGTATTTTACCAGAGCAGACTGATTCATTGTTCTCCAATGGAGCAGCTGGTGGGTTCAAATCACCAACCTTTCAGTTAGCAGGCCAGCACTTCACCTACAGCACTATCAGGGCATTAAGAAGGAAACCAGTGTTTATGGAGTTCCTGCATGACACAACAGTTAATCATTCAACTATTAGCTGAAAGATTGGCAGTTAAAACCATTTCACAGGTGCCTCAGAAGATAGACCTGGCAATCTGCTTCTGAGAGGACACAGCCAAGAAGCCCATGGGGTTGTTCAACCCTGCAAATAGAAGGCCACTATGGGTCTGAATTGACGAGATAGCATCTAACAACTTTGTTCTTGACACCTGGCCAGGTGCATTCATTGTTATTTCTAATGCTATTTCAACTGCACAGAAACCTTGAAAATGTGTTACCGGAGAGGACACTGAGACTAGGTGGAATTAAGAAACTTGCTTAAGAGACAGAATTAACATTGGAAATCTAATTCTCTAACTCCTCGTCTGTCCATTATACCCCCAAAAACCCAGGCAGGGACTCTCAGTGGTGACTTGAGGCCAGTGGCCAGTGTCTCCAGCATGGCAGGGCAGGATAAGAGAAGATCAAGGTCCCAAAGGTAAGGGGATCTTGGTTCAGGAATGAGACCGTCAGCTACAGCACGGCCCAGGGCCAGGAGTGTGCCAGGGAGCCTTCCATGCCTGCTTCATTGGCATTTGTGTCCGTGATGGGATCAGTAGGTGGATGGGCTGGGCTCAGCCTCGTTATCTAGATTTTGTGGGACCTGATATTACCAGGTGAAGAAATTTCCCCTGCTGCTCATTCCAAGGAAGCCAAGGAAAGCCGCATGCACTAGAGTCTGAGATCTCTGACAGGAGCAGAAAAGCAGTCCAAATAGAGAGTGGGCAAGGCAGGGTTGGGGCCATCTGGAACTGGGAAGCAATGCATTAAACAGCACTGAAGTCTGATAGATCTAACAATCTCTTTCTCAAGGATTCAAACTCCAGCCCTCAAGTCCAGGCTGGGTGGCAAAGCTGCCATATGTGGCCAGGTCTTCGGCAGGTGTGAAGGTGGGGGTCCCTGGGCCTTTCCCATTTGCAGGGCCAGCACAGAGAACTCGAGGATGGGGTTTCCTCGGTCCCTTCTCTTCCCTGCTCTGGCCCAGGTTCTCAGAGATGAACAGTCTGCAGTCAGTCCAATGTTCCTGTCCCTCTTGGTCAGGCTGAAAGATATGTAATGAGAGAGAGAGAGAGAGACTTCCACCAGCTATCCTGGCTGTTCCCTCTACACTATTACTTTTCCCTCAATATCCTCATGGTTCACTCCCTCACCTCCTTCAGGCACTTCTCAATGGCACCTTCAGACCTTACTGAGAAATGCACCTTTCAATATCCCTTGCACCTATTGTTGGATGCGGTCACATCAGTCTGACTCATAATGGCCTGGTGTGTTTCAGCACAGCACTGCTCCACAGGCTATCTTCCAAGCTGCTTCTGGGAGTTCAGACTACCAAGCTTTCAGTTAGTAGTCAAGTTAAATTTGCCCATAATAAGTGAGACAAAGTATCATCATCCTTGTCTCTAAGGAGCACTCTGGCTGCATTTCCTTTAAGGCAGATTTGTTTGTTCTTTTGGCAGTCCATGGGATATTCAACATTCTCTGCCAACACTACTATTCAAATATAGATCGTTCTTTGGTTTTCCTTATTCATTGTCCAACTTTCAAATGCATAAGAAGCATTGAAAATATCAAGTCTTGGATTAGGTGCAACACCTTAATCTTTAAACTGACATCCTTGCTCTTTAGAACTTTGGAGAGTCTTATGACAGCGTATTTCCTTAATGTAACATCTTTTGTTCTTTTTACGGTTGCTACCATGGGTGTTGATTATGAATTCAAGTAAAACGGAATGATTGACATCTATCATGATGTTGTCTCTTGGTCCAGTGGTGAAGATTTTTGGGTTTGTTTTTTTGTTTTGTTTTTTTTATGTTGAGATGTAACCCATATTGAAAGTTGTGGTCATTGATCTTCTTTAGTAAAGTGCTTCAAATTTTCTTCACTTTCTGCAAACCAGACTGTACGCATAATGAATGCGACCAAGCTGTTAATGAGTCTTCCTCCAATTCTGATGCCACATTCTTCATACAGTATAGCTTCTTGAAGGATTTGCTTATCATACAGATTGAATAGGTATGGAGAAAAAAATACAACCCTGGCACATTTTTCCTAATTTTAAACCGCATAATATCCCTTGTTTTATTTGGACATTTGCTTCTTGATCTATGTGCAGGTTTTATATGAACACAACTAAGTGTTCTGGAATTGTAATTTTTCTCAATGTCAGCCATAATTTGTTATGACCTATGCAGTCAAATGTCTTTGCATAATCAATAAAACACAAACATGTTTCTGGTATTCTCTGCTTTCAGCCAATATCTATCTTACATTAGTAAGAACCCAGGCCTCTTCTAAATTCAGCTTGAATTTCTGGCAGTTCCCTGTCAATGCACTATTCTAGTGTTTTTAAAATAATCTTTAAGGGTGGCCTAGTGGCAAGGAGCTGCAACTACAATCCCAGAGGCACACAGTTCAAATCCACCAGATGCTCTGCCGGGGAAGGAGGGACAATCTCCTCCTGTACCAGTCAGATCTGATTTGACGGTACACTCACACAAAAATATATAAAAAATTAATAATAATCTTAAATAATTTTTTACTTGTATGTGATATTAATGATATTTTAAAATAATTTCCATAGTCTATTGGATCGCCTTTTTTGAGAATGGGAACCAATATTGATCTTCGCCTGTCACTTAGCCTGGTTTATCTTCCATATTTTGGCAGACTGGTGAGAATGGCTAGGGCTGCATCTGTTTCCTGAAACACCTCAACTGGTATTCATTCCTGAGCTCCAATTTATCGCCAATGGCTTGTTTCTTCAGTACTATTAGTTTTTGATTGTGTACTACTTCCTGAAATGGTTTAGTGTTGACTCATTCTTTAGAGTTAGTCAAGGAGCTCTGGCAAGAAGCTGTGCTGCAATACCAAAGGCACATGGTTCAAGGCCACTGGTTGCTCGATGGGAGAAGGATGTTCGGTCTTCTCCTGTGTGATTAACTGGCTCTGAAAATCTGCTGGAGGGTCAGCTATGAGTCTGTTCTAACTCTATGGTACACAACAACATCAATGTTTTTCTAGTAGTGGAATAGCTTGGTCATAAAGTAGGACTAGTCAATATTCCTTACCCTACTTTAATTTTTATTTGGTACCTTTTGCCTACCTACATACCATCTAAGGATTATATTTGTGTTTGTGAGTCTCTCTCTACACATACCCTGCTGTCTAGTTCATGATCTCTATTGTCAATCTTTGTACTGTCCACAGCTGTACCTCAATGCCTAGAAATTACCAACCACATACATGATAGAGGCTCAAAATACTATTTATTGAGTAAATTATGGAACAAATGAACTGGAATGTGCTAGAAAGAAGGCTGCCTTGAATGTCGAATGAAATTTGGATTTCTAGACTCAGTAGGGGACCTGGAGGAAAATCCTTTTCCCTCTTTGAACATTAATCTCACTTCTGAATAATGAGGGCTTGGACTGTCTTCGTTTTCTAGTGTCGCTCTACTAGCAATACCACAAGTGGTTGTGTTTGATGAACAAAGATTAGTCTATCTCTGTTGGCTTTTGCTGAAAATCCTTTCCCCTTTTAGCTTCCTTGGCTATCTCCCCATGGTGTCTATGTTTCCCTAGTATTTTCTAGTCTCTCAATGTGGCAAAGATGGTTGGTTAAATGCCTGACTACTAACTGAAAGGTTGGTGGTTTGAGCTCACCCAGAGCAACTTTGGAAGAAAAGCCTAGAAATCTTCCAAAAGCTCACAGCCTGTGAAGTGGTTGTACTCTGAAATGTGTAGGATCGCTGTGATTCGGAATCCACTCAACAGCTGCTGCTTTTTAAAATTTCTAACTCAAAGGTTTAAGATAACATCCTGCACTGGTATTACCTTGTTAACAAAGCAAAAGATTTCAGCACATATTTTGAGGAGACATGATGCAACCCATAATGGCCGAGGAGTCCCCCAGTTCTGAGACACTCTGCACTATGACTCAGGCTCTGGTAGGGAAGTAGCATGAGGAAAGCAAAACTATAGGGAAGTGAACAGATGGGTCATCTGGGACTTGGATGGGCCTGGAGGGAAAACCTGGGGTGCTGGAGGGCAGGGGGAGCAGCAGTACTCAAGGGAAGCTGATGGTAGGGGTGGAGAGGAGAAGACTAGATCCTGGAGGAATTCTAGAATAAAGATAAGGTCTGGGAAGGGTGCACAGAGAACACCAAAGGCATTGAGGGCTCAGTTTAGACCCTGTAAACACTGGAGGGACTTGGTGTCATGAAGGTCCTTGACCTCAAGGAACGGGATAATTTATTTTTTCTGCACCCAAGTTGAGTCTCATAGTCTTAGCAGAGTGAGAAACTTTATGAAGCCCAAACTCATCCAATTGAAACAAGAGTCTAGAAGTTCTTTTTGAGAGTGTTTAATGCCCAATGAGCAGGTGTTGACAGATGCCCTCATACCTCTCTTCCAAAAAAGTCCATGTTCCCAGAGTCTAGGGACATGGGGTGCAGATGGAGTGGCCTCCTGAGAGGGCAGAACCTGGAGGCTTGGTGGCTGAGGGGGCCAATGTCCTGCTAACAGACCCCTGGCAAGACCTCTTCCCATCTGGGTTTCTTTCTCCTCAGGCGTCTCTCAGTTCTGCAATAAAACACGTTCTCACAGGACCCTCTTAGTCCCACCATGGCACTCCTGCCCAGCCCACCACCTGGCAAGCTCACCTGCCAGGGTTTGGAGCTGATGTCCTGCATCATGATCACAGTTAAGTCCAGGGGCTGAGGATGCCTTCAGCTTCCACCCACGCCAGGCTGCAACCCAGAGGAGGCTGCCTACAAGAAGCTTGCTGAGGAAGACACAGGCCAGGAGCAGAAAGGTGGACGTGCCTGAGAAGGGGCTGTCCTCTTCAGAGAGGCTCCTTGGAGAGATGGAGAGAAGGGGCCTTGAGGTGGATAGCAGGCAGGAATCTGCCCTCAGAGAGAGCAGTGAGGCAAAACCAGGAGCTTCTAGAGGCTCAGTGCTGTGCGCAGGAGACTTGAGTTTTACTCATCAATGTGCCGTTAATCTGAGTTCACTTTACACAGAACCTTCCCTCTCAGTGTTTCCTTGCTGTGCACAATGATGGTGGTGGTGGAGGGGTGTGTGTGTGTGTGTGTGTGTGTGTGTGTGTGTGTGTGTGTGTG